AGTATGTGGTCGACCCTGCAAAATTTCTGACAGAGATAAGCGAAAAATTCTGAGAAAAATTGAGAAAAATCCACAAATTTCGCTTAGGGATATTGCTCAGGAGTTCAAGGAAGAAAGTGGTGTTGATGTGTCACATGAAACTGTCCGAAAATTACTGAATTCCAATGACTACACATCACGAGTTGCCAGGAAAAAACCTCTACTATCGGCGGCGAATATTTTGAAGCGGCTATCGTTCGCTCAAGTCCATGTAAATAGTTCGAACGATTTTTGGAGTAACGTCATATTCTGTGACGAAAGCAAGATGATGCTATTCTACAACGATGGGCCATCCAGAGTCTGGAGAAAGCCACTAACAGCGTTGGAAAACCGCAATATTATTCCAACCGTTAAATTCGGAAAACTATCAGTGATGGTGTGGGGGTGTATTTCGAGCAAGGGTGTAGGAGATTTGACCTTCATTGAGAATACCATGGATGCTAGACAATATCTGAGCATTTTACAGACACATCTCGTCAGTAGTGCACAGAAATTTGGATTCTATGAGGACAATAAGCCAATTTTTAAATTTTACCAGGACAATGACCCGAAGCATAAAGCTCATATGGTAAGAGTTTGGCTGTTGTACAACTGTGGAAAGGTGTTAGACACTCCACCACAAAGTCCAGATATGAATCCAATAGAAAATGTGTGGTCATATTTGAAAAAAAAAGTCGCAAAGCGGAGTCCAAAATCAAAAACTGATTTAAAAGCTGCTGTACTGGAAGAATGGCAGAAGATTCCAGAAACATACATACAAAACCTTATTGTTTCAATGAAACGGCGATTGCAGGCTGTATGTGACGCTAATGGCAGCCACACAAAGTATTAAAAAAAAATATTCCTGTTTTTTTAACATTGTTATTTAGTAATAAAGTTTCGTGTAAAAACACTTTATTGACAGCATAAAATTTGAATGTTTTTAGTTTTTTAATTTTATAAAATGTTTGGGTAATGTTATTTAACAATTCTTTTTGCCATTAAGTTCTAGGAAAAATATAGAATCGAAATAAATTAGAATTGAAAAAAAATTCTCACTTTTAGGTACATTTATTTTCAACTAAACCCAAAAAATTAGTTTTTTTTCGTTAGTCAAAACACTTTATTGACATACTGTATATATAGGGTTTTATATTCGAGTCTATTGCAAAAACGTGCAACCATGACGTCGTAGCTGCCGTCGCCCGTCTGCTGCAATAATAATAACACTTAACAACAGCAGCAGCAGCAACAACAACAACAAGAACAACAACAACAACAAACGATGTGCCAAGTGATTGAATTAAGTGCCAATAGTTTTGTGAGGGACCTGTTGGCTGGGTTGCGTTTGCTCTTACGTTTTTACGTTTACGTTAATTGATACAAAGTCTCAAACGTGCGTCTCTTTATCTATTTATAAAAGTTTCGGCAGCAGAGTCGCTATTTTCGCGCATTTGTTTGATTCGGACAACGAATCTGATTGCGATTGCTTAATGTGTGCGTGTGTGTGCATGTGTGCGTGTGTGCGTGTGAATGCGAATGTGTGCTCGTTTTGTAGATGTTTTCGCGTCTCGCTTGCCGTTTGGCGGCCTGTGCCTGCCCTAAAATGTAAATAAACAAAAGAAAGGTAACAGCAAACGCAGCAGCAACAGCAGCAACACATAAACAATTACAACAATAAATGTGTATATAATTGTATGCTGACCACGGACGAAAAGTTTACAGTAACCAAATCGAAATTTACGTTTGAGTTTGAATAGCAGCGGCTGCTGCCGCTGTTGCTGCCGCTGCTGATATGAACAAATTATTTGGCGGTCGATTTTTACGCATGTACCGATACCGAATTTTAAATTTATGTTTTATTGCTGACGTTATTTGTTTACACGCACATTAGCATTAATGTAACAGCGTTGCCGCTGTTGCTGTTGCTGCCGCTGTTGCTGACGTAGTTGCCGCATCCACCGCAATTCATCGTCATCTATCAAAGTGGCAGAGTGTATTAACAAAATCAAATATCGGGCCGAAACTCAAAATAGACAAATGATAAAATAAAGCATCGGCAATCAAACAGCTGTCAAATGCCAATTCAACAGCATTACGAGCTGGCAAGGTCGCTGCAGCGCCGATAAAAGCGAAAGATAATATCGATTGCGATTGCGATTGTTATTAATGCTTAATTGCCAGCGCCGCTCACTTCACAATCTCTCTATCCCCCCCTAACACCGCTCATTCCCTCACTATTTCACCCACAATGTGCGCTGTTGTTGCAGTTGCAAAAAAAAAAAAACAATACAATCGCAAATTACAAAACTGCAACATTATTTGATTTATTTTAATTGAGCATGCGTGGGCCTGTCTGTCTGTCTGTCCGTCCGTCTGTCTGTCTGTCTCTTCGTCTGTTTGCCCACGCTTTATGCTCTAATTCAGTTTGGTTAGAAATCGATTGCAGCAACAAAGCAAAGCAACGCGAATCAGCGCAAAGCAAACGAGCAAGAAAAACATTCAATTTACAGCTGCAAACTAAGTACTTACTGTGGGCCTGGGGGATTACACCTTGCCCGCCCGCTTGCACTTCCGCGAGCCAATTTTCGTCGCCTGCGCTTAGCGTTTAAGTGAAAATTGGTGAAAATCTGGCAAATGTGTCAACAAGTGCCTAGTCAAACGGGCGTGAAACGCAGCAAAAGCAATAACAACAACGGAGAGCAGCGCAACATAGTCAACGCTTTTCACTTAATTTCCACTAAATTTCGTAGAGCTCTTCACCCGCTACCCCCCCCCCCCCCCCCCCCCCCCTATATTCCCCGCACACCCACCCAACATCTACCAGCATGTGTGTATGTAGCGAAGATTCTTGAGCTGCAACCAAATCTAGATCCGGTTCAGCAAGTTTACCGCAAGCTAGTTACAATATACATACATACACACATATACACACACACACACACACACATACAAGAGATGGGTACATCAACGTTACTAGAGATGAGCGCGTGTAAGCACGATATATAAATATTTTTACGCAGCAGCATATAATGAAAGGCTTAAATTTCACATGCTCATAATTATTCTTTAAAAACAGCAAATGGGATATCAAAAAGGCGCCAAAGTGTTTATTAACATTTTGCAATATCAATTAATGTTGAATATATTAAATTTTGTACATGAAGTCGTGTCACGCCATCAACACACAGTTTGCATATATATATATATATATATATATATATATACATGTGTGTGTGTGTGTGTGTACATACATAATTGACAATGTTGGCGACTCACCTGTGTAAACGGTCCGTTTGCTCGGCTTCGTTCTGCAGCTCGTTAATGGCAAAGAGCTCCGTCTCGCCATTGCGTCCGAAGATGCCATTGGGTATCTTGCGGAGGAACTTCTTTAATACGCTGGCAATGGTGAACACCGAATAGTTGTCAACGTTAACAAGTCGGCCCGCCTGCAGGAAGTGTATGAGCTTCTTCATTGCGCCCTGATGGCCGGGCGCACGAAAAACATCGCGTCGATTTGGCGACTCCTTGTTTAGTTTCAATATGAGCACAAGCAGCGGCCCAGGAATGTTGTTGTTGTGCTTGCATACCTCCTCCAGTGGTACACCGAACTTCACCTTCTCCAAGCGGTATGGATAGGCGGGAGCGGTCGCTGGATGGCCGCAGGATGTGACAACGTTGCCCAAATCAGCGGCGCGTCGATGCACGCGCTCAGCCCAGCTGGACATTTTGAGTGTGTTTGTGTGTGTGTGCGCGCGTATGTGTGTAGATATTTGTAAGCGTCTGTTTGTTTGTGTGCGGTTATTTGCCTGCGTACGCGTTATGTATATCAATTCGAGTGTGTGTGTGTGTGTGCGTGTGTATGTGTATGTGTAGGCAACACTTTTCTTTCGGGCGTTCGGTTTTCACAGAAAAATGTGCTCGTTCATAATTTTATGCTGTTTTATGCTGGTTAAAAACATGTTCCTTTACTTCCCCCTTACTTTCCACTGGAATGTAACTGCGTTGTTAAAGTAGTACTAGTAGTAGTTGTTGTTTTTGTTGTTGCTATTTTGTCTCTGTATGCATTTATCTTTCGTTGTGTCGTTGTTACTCAGCTCCTCGTACTTGTATCTGTTAATTTTTTGTTGTTTTGGGCGTTGTTTGAATTTTCTTCGAACGTAGTAATTATTTTCTTCGTTAAGATTTCTCAAATGTTAATTGAATATATCAAGATCTTTGTTTCATATATGTGCGTGTGTGTGTGTGTGTGTATACGCTTGCTTAGATTTGGCGATTTCAATTTTTTATGCTCGCGCAGTCACAGCAGCAGCCACTCCAGTATGCACTTTTTTTTAGCTTTGCTACTTCTTTTTTTTCACTGTTGCCGTCCCTTCACAGCTTAAGCGTAGATAGCGCGACGCGTTGTAGCATATTGAGCGCAGGATATATTATCCACAAGCTACGTTTTAGGTGTACCGACGCGGCTGGTTGTTGTTTTTTCTTTTTTTTTATTTAATTAATGGGTTAGTTTTCGTGGCTCTTAAAATAATTTTCGCGTCTCTGCACGCACGACTTGCAGCTCCAGCACTTGTGTATACACTAGCGATGCGCGACTTTTTTCTACTAGGGGTGTACAGATGTATTGCGTTTGCAACATATCGATATATCGCACGAATAAACTATCGGCACCCCTTAAGCTATGCTAATTACAATGTATCGATATCGATGAATAAAATGTCACCCTGCATATTATGAGTAGTATCGAATCTCTAATTATGGCGAATATGTGTAAAGTGAAATTGTTGCAAAGGAAATAACAATAATACAAAGCTACCAATAAGCCGCTTATTCATTGCAAGTTTTTAACCAAAAGAAGTACGTATTAAGCATAGTAGGCTATGAATGTATTTATAGCGCATCTGACACACATACATTCATTTAATTTATTTTTGTTTGTCTCAATTATTTTGTTGTCTGCTTCAAAACAACAGCAACAACAACACGTACAATTTTCATCTTTTTCTACGAAAAAAAATAAGTTAATAATAAAAAAAAAAGGCGTCAAACGCAAGACTATCAAACGCAGCGCATTTTGGCCCAATCGCTTATCCAAAATTTTCAAGTTCCATTTGCAAAAACAATTTTTATATGTGTGAGTGCCGCTGCTCACCTTGAATCCGTAGTCGTTGGCTGTTTCCCCCTTCGAACGCGTCTACGTATATAAGATATTGACCCTGTACGCCTGATACATATTTAAAACACACGCACATGCAACACACACACACACATACACGCATCGACGTACATACCTAAATAAGTTGCTGCATAGAAACTTTTTTTCAATTGGCAGGTGAACAAATGACCACCGCCGCCTCCACATCGCAAAATGCGTCGTCGACGTTGATGGCTGCTGGTGGAGCCGGTGGCGCGGGCTCTACGACAACAACAACGTTGACGACGACACCCAGCAGCTCGGCCGTGCGTGCCCTGGCCATGGAGTACAAGTCGCTTCAGGAGGAACCAGTCGAAGGATTTCGCGTTAAGCTAATGAACGATGATAATCTGTTTGAGTGGGAGGTGGCCATCTTTGGGCCGCCAGATACACTATATCAAGGTGGCTATTTCAAGGCGCACATGAAATTTCCACACGATTACCCGTACTCGCCGCCATCCATACGCTTCCTCACCAAGGTATGGCATCCGAATGTATACGAAAACGGCGATCTCTGCATATCCATACTGCATCCGCCTGTTGATGATCCCCAAAGCGGCGAGCTTCCCTGCGAACGCTGGAATCCTACACAGAATGTGCGTACCATTCTTCTCTCGGTTATTTCGCTCCTTAACGAGCCCAATACATACTCGCCAGCCAACGTGGATGCTTCGGTGATGTATCGCCGATGGCGGGATTCCCAGGTAAGTGTTAATCAAATCGCAACATATAAAGATCTAATATATCACGCAGGGCAAGGACAACGAATATCCGAACATAATACGCAAACAGGCACTGGCCGCCAATGCGGAAGCCAAGCGCGAAGGTATTGTGGTGCCTATGACACTGGAGGACTATTGCCTGAAGCCCACGGTCAAGCCCAGCACAGAGTCCGGCCTAGATGCAAATTTCTATGATGATGATTTTGATTTGGAGACCGAAGATTTGCCAACAGACTCGGATGAGGAGGATGATGAGGATGAGGACGATGAAGATGATGATGAAGAGGGCAACGGGGATAGTGCACCAATTAGCAAAAATAATGGCAATACAAAGTGCACGAACAACGGTTTGTCGGCAAAATCAGCTGCTGCTTCTGCAACAGATGATGCCGAGTCCGCTGATGACAGCGGTAAGGGAGAGACTACATAATGCAGATAAACACGCTCCACCTTCACTCTGCTCCTGCCCTAGGCGTCTGCGTAGCATTTAAATGAAGATGATACTAAGTGTGAAAAGAAACGAATCGAGCTGCTTGAAGACGCCCCCTAAGGCCAATCGCTGGTTTATCATTTCTCTCAACACAATTATTATTTTTTTACCATAAATTATGTACAATTGTAAAACTGAAACGTGAATTATTTCTTAGCTGGCCCGCTTTATAATATCCCCCAGCTAGCCTCTGGCTAGGCACGTTTTAAACCCGTTCATAGAATTTCAAGAGCTTGCGATTCCTTTTAAAGCAACTAAATACCACTCAAAACTGAAAACGATTATACAAGATCTATATATATATATACAATATACATATGTATTAGCTATTATTATTTAAAAATATATATATACAATTACACACATCCATGTACTTGTATGTACAAATCATTAGAGGGGGCGCTACAGATGCAAATTTTTAATGAGAACTATCCTAACAAACGAGAGACATCCTAACAAAAGATAAACTAACAAGAAAAACAACATAATATACAATCAACGGATTTCAAGAACGGAAAGCAAATATGGAAAGTAGCAATTAAGGAATATTTATGTGCAAAAGAACACCAATTGCAATATTGAAACGGAAAACTGCATTGTATAATAAATTGCAAAGATTCATAAGCCAAATAAAATGACAAAAAAATAAATCTCCGATGTTGATTACTTGACAAGTGAACAATTCACATATTATTCTAATAAGCAAAGACACGGCATGTGTTCATCCTTATTAATTTAAGGAACATTCTTCGAATTATGCTATTACCAAGATTGGCATCGTTAACTGTGATAAGGTATCTATCGCAAGTTAGTCGATCGTTTGCGTACAGTACAGGTTTCTCGCTGAGATTATTTTGCTCACAGTTTATTTGCTCAACTTTTGAAAGATTTTAAATTTTGGTTATGAGTTTGGCACGCTTGCGCCATGCCAGAAGCGCCGGGGTAAGGTCCTTGTCTGTAATGGCAGGCATGCGTATAAGTGAGCTATAGACACCAATGTCCGCCACGGACATTTGATCGCCGCCAAAGTATTGCTGCTGCTGCAGCCGCTTGTCCAGCAGCCGCACCATAGCCACTTGGCTCTTGTGTGTGGTGCAGCGCAACAGTTGATAGCAAATGTCCAGCACAGCATCGATTTCGTTGCAGAGCGGCGAGTTTTCATAGCGATATTCTGTGGGGCCCACACGTCCCAAATACCTTATGATATTCACCTCGCCATAAATGGGCACATACATTGTCGGTGAGCTAATCATTTCGGTGTGCTCGCCTAGGCAGACAAATTGTAAGATTAATCTAGATTTAATTGAGTACCATAAGCCCTTGCGTACAGTTCTTCCATATTAGCGTTACGTTGATCTTGGGCAGCGCTGGATTCACAGACACTTTCGCCAGATTAGCCTCAAACTCTCGCGCTGCTGGCCCAATATCCGCCATCGTTGAGTGTGTAAAGGTCTTCACATCAATGGTGTACAGGTCGCGCCAGGCGTTCTTCAACGCCAACAATGCATATGGTATAAAGTTGGGATGTCCATTGACGACCACATCATGCAGTGGCACCTGTCTCAAAACATTTGCATAGTATTTTATATGGTTATAAGGCCAAAGTTAACCCACTTCTTTTAGTCCACCGTTGTGGTAAGCTGTTGTATGCTGGACGGTCTTGCCACACACACGCACACCCAAGCTAGCGCGTATTTGTCCCAGCTGCGCTTTGAGCTCCTCGAGTTGTTTCAGCACCTTTTCTTGACGTTCCAACACAGCTGTTGTGTCTTGGTTCTACAAAATTAAACACACCAAAAAGGCAATGCACTGCATCAATAAAGGACAATTCAGTTTTCAAAACTGACTGCTAAAAAAAAACTAGAGATGGGCGCGTGAAAATATCAACGTAATAGCATATCCTTTAAAATATTTTGTTTATCGCTTCTGAGGATACCCGCTCGTTAAATATATAAATATATTTAATAATTCCATTAAGTTTGTTGTTAGCAACAATACATAGTGTTAATAAGCATGTGTTTAGATACCCTGGAATTATTTCCCGGCACATTTTCATATACGGTTTATAACGGGTCGAAAAATCATGCGCCCATTTCTAATGTGAACACACGAACACAAACTTGAAAAGCACAGTGCGTGTTATGCATTTTGTTAGTCAGTAGAATTTATAAATAGACATAAATTTGTGTTTAGCATATACATCTTTTAACCTTTAGCAAATGTTGTATTTGTCTGCCTAAAATGTCCAAATCAAGTGCACAGATGCCAGTTTTTGTATTGTTGCTCTCAACCTCCGCAGCGCCACTGCATTGAATTTGATGGGCCTTTTATTTTGATATCATGTGGTGAATGAAAATGAAATGATTTTTGAGTTTTCACACAGGCTCAGCACAGAAATAAGCTCCTAGATGGAGCATTGGCAACCAATTGAAAAGCAATTCACTGGCACTTTAGTCACTCTGACAATCTGTTCCAGCAACGCTCATCTCTAATTTGGGCCACGGCAGCTGCGAACAACACTTACTGCGGGGCCTGGTGTAGCGCCGGCGGAGAGGCTGACATTCCTTAATTCGTACATACAGGTGGGCAGTGTAATATCAAATTGTGGCAACAAAGTCTTCAGCTCGTACATTTCACGATCCAATTTGGTAGCGGGTTTAAGTAGATACGACACAGAAAAATGTGCTTGGCGGTAGCGATGAGTCAAGTCTATTATCGATTTATCGGATTTTTTACGATGTCTATCTATTTTGAGCATGTAATCAATATCGATAACCGATTAATACACTTTGATTATGTTTTTCACTGGCAAATATGTTGACCAATTTTCTCACTTCAATGATCTTTTCACAGCCAACAATAATATAAGCATAAGAATGCCATTGTATAAATTTAGTAAATTATGAATTTAAAAATATTATGCTGTGCCACTGCTACAAATTCTAATGACTGCTAACAGATAATTGAATTTAACAGCCTTAATCGTCTTATCGATAATTCGATATACAATAATGACATTCTCTGGGGCGTTGACATATACATTTAAAACGAGTTGACATTCCCATCTGATGGCGTCTATTTTTTAAAACATAAGAACAGACTTATTTGTTTACCAGACCAAATATGAATAATAAAAAATCAAGAAGTTCGGTGAGTGAAAATCATATCTCAAAAACGGAATACATCTAATACCCATTCTGTTAGCTAAAAAAAGGGCCGACACAGGCGGATGAGGAGCCTGATCCTGTCCGTACTATAAAGCGTCGCATCAGTTTTAGCGGCAAAAAGTTTATAAGGTAACAAAATTTAATAATATATATATATATTTAAATCATCGCTTTTGTTTGAAAAATACAGAGAATTTGATACTACGGAGAAACCACGCGACTACGACAACTCGTATGAAATATCGGACCATACCAACGGCGACGATAGCTCCGGCCAAACCCATGGCACTGTGGCAGCGTCTGTACTGCAAAGTACAGCCCACATCTCCACATTGGCCAACGAGATGGACAAGGAGAATACATCGCCCATAGCAACAACTATAGGTTCAGTGTACGAGCAGAATTCTCGATTAAGCGATTTTACACTCAAACTGCAAACGAGCATCAATGTGACGCTGCTACCGGATGAAATGGCCAAGCAACATCGGCGAGTGGAATCCCCGGCGCCTTTAGAGTCAATGTCAAGAGACAGTTTGTCATTGTATGAAGCGGAACGTGTAAAGCTGCACGAAAATAGTGTATATAGATTGCCAGTTTTTGAGAAGACTATGGATCTGGTTCCAGAGAAGCTTGCTTTTGCTGAGGTATGTAAAAGAATCTAAATCAACACCGTTTTCTTGTTGATGTCAAGCAAATTTACTTTGTGCTGAACGTAACGTCATAACGTCAACATCAAATGTTTGAGGATTACAGCGTCCCTAATTTAATGACATTTATTAAACATTTCAGCTAGAGCCCAAGCATCTGGAAACGAGAGACGAAAAAAAAACTATTGTTATACCTGCGGACATTAGTTGTGTGACTCAACAAGTCAGCCAGAAGACAGTGCTATTCGAGAACAAAGACATATCTTGTGATTTTACCGACATTGGTAGGGATAACAATGAAAAAAGCCAGAAGCCGAATGCCTAAATTATGAAATCCTTTTATTTTTCAGAGCCAAAAGAAAGTTGTTGGGCTGCGGGTGCGACGGCAAAGCCGACGCAAGAAAATGAATCCATTGATGTGGTAGAAAATGATTATATGAATTATTTGCCAGATGATTCGACGTTGTCTTCGCCGTTAATACCGTTGGATGTGATATCAGAGAACGGGATTAGCAAGAAATTGAACTTTCGGCAACTGAACGATGCCTTGGACTCTGGCCAAATACAGTTGTTTCCCAACGGTCCGAAAACACCAACTACTGATCGCAAAGCAAAGCAACGTCGTTTTTGGCATGGTCTAGAGCAGCAGCCCGCGGAACAGGATGCATCCCTCAGAGAAGTTTTAAAGCCACGCGGCACGCTTAATTTTAATGAGAGCATGATGATGTCGCCCATACCGCAAAGGCCCGAGCCTAATCTAATGGCAACAGCAGACCATTTCGAGCAGTCGGTCAAGGCCAAGAGCTCACAGAACCCCAGACGCAACTATCGCTTCTCCCAGGCGGACGAGCTAATGCTAGACAATACTAATTTTCTTGTCCATGCCAAAATAGGCGATGAAACGCAGTCACGAAATAGCTCCAAATCCTCATCGCGACGGGAAACTACCTACAATAATACTGCTATGGAATTGGATGATCTGGAAAAATGTGAAGCGGCCATGAGAGCTGCTCTGGAAAGCGCCAAGCACAAGGAAACTATGCAACGCCTAGAGCCGATGGAAGAAGAAACTTTATTAAGTCCCTGCAAAAATGCAATCAACACAATACATAAGCCAGGTGCAGTTCAGCAAGGCAATCAAGCAGATTTGAATCCTCATAAAGCACAGCCAACTCAGCACCGCAGTAAGCTAAGGCAATCTTTGCACATGTCTGAACCCATTGAAGAAACCTCCTTTGGCTCGCACAATGAGTTAAAGTCAGTTCCGCCTGCTGCTTCAACAATATCGCAACGTATGAGGCATGGGCAAACATTACACATGGCCGA